ACGATACAGGCTCCTACCAAACCTTATAGCATACAGCTATATAACTTAGACAGATATCATTGTATTCCTTACTTTGATCTACTTGGTATTCCCTAGAAACTAGTACAATCCCAGTACTTGTTCATCCCTTCAGAGTGACTCTTAGTCCCTCTGTCTTGACCGCACTTCTAAGGCAAGCCAACACTACCTTAGCTGTATATCCATTAGCTTTACAGCTTGATGAGCTGCCGTGCTTACCAAGCTTGTTGGAGGATCCCTTGGGCTTCATCCAAGGCTAGAACATTGTTCTTCCATCTTCGCGAGATCACTTAGAGACCTGCCATTCAGCATCGAGAGGCTCAACCTATCCAAGTCGTAACAATCAGAGAAAGGTAGTAGGAAAAATAGCTAATTACACACCATTGGCATGATAAGGCATGGCCCAGTTCCTCATAGAGCTCTATCTCCCTGCCACCATGACTAACTGCAAAACCTTCCTCACCAATGGGGGGGATGATACTTGGAAGATCCATTACATTGTTGATTCTGTCATAGTCAAAGTCAGATAAGGGTGCAGTGACACTATGTTTGGCATGAAGAAACTGTTCTCTCTGGTGCAGATTCATGCCTGTAGATAGTAGTAGCTGGTAGCAATAGAAATGAAAAGAAAAGACTTACTTCAAAGCTGGGCTGCTCATTCAGCAGATGCCACCACCGCTCATTTGACACAGTCCTGGTTGCGGACCACCCTATTTCTCCTCCCTCCAACAGATATTTGTGATGCTTGTGAGATACCAGGTGTGCTGAAGTTGCCTTTTGTCATCAGAAACACAGGATGGACGATGATGGTGGTTGAAGGCAAGGTACCTTGATGGTGGTGATATGTGACTGACACATGGTTAAAGCATGTTGGGAAGCTGATGATACACTACATTGCTTGTACATCGAGCTGTTGATGCCATCATAGTAAGAATAAGCAGTATGCTGAAAATGGCCAAAAAGTAGGAACATTGAGTGTATTGTTGAGCTCGTTGTGGGTGATGATGAGCACAAAGTTGACAGCAACAGCCTGTGGTGGTGCACTATTACCAAATATAGTGCTTGTGTCAGCTTTCCTGTGTGCTACCCAAGGCTAAAATATTAAATGTTCTAAGTGACCTTGATTTGCTGGTCTAGACTGCTGGTCCTCACAAATAATGCTTTTTGACTTAATATAAGGGTGAGCAGACGTCTTAGGTACCGCTTTACTAAATTGGAAAGGTGGGAGTAATAGGTGCAATTTTCAATTTCTCAACTTACTTGTTGTCGCTGAGGCTAAGGCCCTCTAGCCAGCAGCAGACACCTCCAAATTCTGCCTCCTACCTGTTTAAATATGTCTCTGTTCTGCATTGCATGAACTTTACATTTTTGATACACTAGTAATTGGTTATGTATCTCATGGCAGGTTCAACAAGAGGAGAGTCCTGTAAAAATCTTTTTCGGTGCATTCACTGGCTGAGTTATGGATGTGACTATTTATCAACTACTTACAAGCTTTCACAAAACTTTTAAAAATTTGATGGGAGTTTGCCATAATTCTTGTCACATTTTCAAAATTCCTGTGGGAGGTTTTCCCTGATGCATCAGTACAGGAGGGATGTACACACACAAAATACATCTACTCACTTGCAAGTGACCTGTACCCACAATGCTCTGACCTGGGTGGGGATGGGTAGGCCTGAGAATGTTGGTATCCATGGGTTGGGTGTGGCCCACCTGGTGTGGGCCCACCAGCATGCGGGTATAACCTGGGTCAATCAACCATGTCAGCCCACAGTGTACCCATGCACAAAGACTTGAGTACTATTTCATTTCATAGCAAAGGATAGATGACAACATATCAAATATTGATGCACAAAAAAATCAGCTATAGTACTAGATGTATACTCAGAATTTATTTTTACAAGAGGGACCATCCAGAGGCAAGCACTTGTAGCATACAAAGCAAATACAAAGGCCTGCTTTCGTAATATTGCCAATGAATCTCAACGACCAGAGGTCATCGCTGGTAAACTATGAGCCTTACGTATAGAGTCCGATACGAAAAAGAAATTTAATTATGGTGTCGAAGTTGAATGCTAGCAATAAATTGAAATCCCACCCAAACATCAAGCTTTCAAGGTTTCTTACCCAGCCTCAGGATAATTCTGCATCATACGCCTAAGCTCCACTTCCGGAACCCTCGCCTGAAATTCAATAGCGCATGGGACGTTGGGCATGAACGCGTTTGAGAACCCCATGTCATCCTGGGGCTTAGTAAGATCCAGACTGAGCTGAAATGCCCAAAGAATGAGAAGCGAATTTATGAACACCGATCTGTAACTTTCAGATGAGATGCAGCAAACTATGTGGGTGGAAATAATCGTGACCTGTTCGCAACGTGTTGACCTGGGCATACCCTGGAAGGAAGGACGATCAAAGAAAGTACATCCCACAAGACAGTACTCACCGTCGACCAAACCCATATACAAAGAATGTGAGATCGTCTCTCAAGCGACCTTCATTGTCAATCCAGCGCTGGGGCTTGAACGCATCAGGCTCGGGATAGACTTCTGGATCTCGAGAGATAGCCCTGAGGCGGTGACAATTTGATAAGTGATAACTTGAAGGACATAGACTTACCAGTGGTTGCCGATTACCGTAGTTCCAGCAGGAATGCAATAATTTTCCTGCAGACAGATGACAGATGTAAGATTATCCTCACGATGAATCGTTCAAAAACACTTGCCCAAATGATGTCTTCAGTAGTTCGGTGGGAGAATCCTGTGGGATGGACTGCGTGAGCGTCAGCACAGGACCGGCCCTTCAGAAACTCACCAAAAGCAGCCAACGGTCTCCATCTCAAAACCTCAGAGATGAAGGCCTCCAGACGGGGAAGGGATGGTCTATCGGCGAAGGTTGGTGCTTTGGCAAAAAAATGAGTGATTGAATAGAACTACAGTGCACAATCAAGCTACCTCGGTCCCTTCCGATGACTGCATCAAGCTCGGCCTGCACTTTAGCTTGCTCTTCAGGGAAATGTGCCGCTGCCATTAGCACCGTGCATATCGCTGTGGCAGTCTGTTGCCCCACCTCAGGTATATAATCGTCAAAAAAAAAAACAGAAAGACGCCTCACTGTTTCGGTTCCAGCTCCAAAAAATCCGCCAGCAAGATATGCCATCTCCATATCTGTCAAGTCGTAGAGATGTCGATTTTCTATCAGGTGTTTTGAAAACGAAGGGCCAATGTCCTCATTTCTTTGCTGTGGAACAACTCAGACATCACGTAAAGATAGGCAAGGCAATGCCTACCATCTGCAGTTTCACATTATTCAGCTGGTCTGTGTAGAGTCGTGTGGACCTCTTATAGTCGTCTTTTAAATCTAGTGCATACCAAGGAAGGTATTTGAGCCAAGGTATCGAGTCTACCCAGTAAGCACCGGGGCGCAGGACTGTACGAAATCGGGATATGAGGTGGCGAGCCTCCCTAACTTCATGGTCAGTTGCCGATGTCGGTGAGGTCTTCCCATATGCAACTTTCAAAATCGTCGATGCAGCACAACTTCCAAGAGCCCGTAAGTGACATAGTATGCGAGACCCAGATAAGAAACCGCTTACGTTATCGCATGGTTCTGAAAGTTGCTTGGATCATCGAGAATGTTGAGGATGAGGCTTCTCGCTTGCGACATCTGCAAAGGTTGATACGCATCGGCTGATTTGGGCTGGAGATGCGTATGGAGTGCTCTGCATCGCATTGAGACGTAACATGAGAGCTGTTTGAGTCTTTACAGTATCGCGACGACGAACCTACGCATCCGACGCAGCCTGTCCCCAGCATGGCAGAAACCGAGGCTCAGTCCGCGTGAAAGAATTTCTCCAGCAGCAACGAGGCGAGGTCGATCAGCTAGCATTCTACCCTGCTTCTCCATTATATCCACTGCGGCCTGTCACGGAGTGTTGAGTTTGAAGACACTAGTTTATCATAAAGGGACTAACTTTGTAGCGGCCAATAATCACCATGTTCTGCATTCCTGAGCGGATAGTGATCAGAGGGCCATACTCGTCAATCCACCGCGCCACAGCAAGAAATGGCCTGATCAGAAATGTGATACAATTAGATCCTATAGATGAGGTCGCAGATATGAAACTTCACTCGCGAGGGGGCAGGAAGTGTCCCCGTAGTCTCCAAGTTGGAGGTGAAGGTGGGAGAGGAAGGCGGCTATCTGATTTACGAAGGTAAACCCAAATAATTGTTCCTATTACTCCAACACAAGCCGCAACATCGAGGGTGAGCGACGTGTTATCAGAAATGCGCAGGTCAGGGAGCTGTAGCATGGTCGATTGGAGGAGTTGGGATGGATCTCATCGAAAGCGCATTTAAGTTGTTTCAATAAGGTACCCTGCATCGACCCTACGGGCAGGAAGAGACGGGTACTGTCATATCCTATTACGCATCACTTCACTTGCACAGTTTGGGATAAAACGATGGCTCTGGGAAAATGCCATAAGCGAACATGCGATGTGCGGAAACCGGACAAGATCTTGTCGAATCTTCGCGACTGCCGTCGGGCGAAGCATCGGTAGCAATCATGAATCACAATGGCCATATGGGCCTTGTGCACTAGCTATGAGTGTCGACTTTAACACGGGCTGAGTCGTATGATGCCGACGATGATGTGCGGTGGCGTAAGTTGGGCACTCAGGTATAGTGCAGTTCGCTGAGCCTGCCAGTGGAAACCAGACGTTTTAAAAGCGGAGATCGTTGTGTACACCTGCAAAAACACTCACAGTCATGAATGTATATATACGTTCCAGGCTAATCATATGGATTACGAGTTGTCTCCCTAAATAAGATGGTATAGCGTGCGCGAGATTCTAGGCCGGTCCGTTGCACCTGCATAGTGTCGCGGTGTTTCTGGGCCATGTAATTGCGACGTATAAAGTCCGAGCTGGGAATGATATAGCTGACCATATCTTTATCGTAGCCGCAGCCCACATCATTATGAGCCAACTTTGTTTTTTGAAAAACAGAACGGACTTATGGCGAAGAGTAGGAAAATCCAGTCCCATCGACAACGATGCGAATGGAACGCAGCCGACAGATACGGTACGTCGGTAACTCTTTGATATGGGAAGGTGCAAAGAAGTCCCCCGGGCCGATACAGAGATGGTTAAACCGGATCAACTGAAATCAGGAATTGGGAAGGCCGATACCGTTCCTGCCACTAATATGGCACCCCGGGCGAGACCTGAAAGGATCGATACAAACCTGAGTATTGGTAGCATCAGTTATACAAGGAGCGCTGGAATGCGAGCAAAACACTCACTGTCATATTCTGTCAGAATAACAGTTGACTCCTTCCAAAAGGTTGACTGTTTTCGAAACTCGTGAATCACTGATAGCGCATTACAGAAAAAAAACTTCCGAGGATCAGCCAACCACGGTGGCACGAAGATACTGCCACACTGTGAGCAAGAACTTTCGGGTGTAAGGGTAAACACGTACAGCAAGGCACATGTACGGATCCAATTGCAACCTGGCAGAGATCAACGTTATCAACACCGTGGGGATGCATGAGTGCCAGCTTATACCAACTGCTAGTACGGGCCCCGGGGTCCGGCGGACCAAAACACGTAATCCAAAATTTGCCACGCCCACCACCACCGTGACCACCCAAATGCCCATCATCCCCCTCGTCCTCCCACGCGCACCCCAAGTAAACCCAACACTACTCCCAAACTCGATCGCTATTCCGGGCGCATGAACACCTGACACGATCTCCAACGCGAAATTGACGATCTCTCAGACGAGGAGAACGAACTTGAAGATTCCGTACGTGCCCCCTTCTGAAGTCGTTCTGCGATGCGATTCCCTACTAATGCACCACGCAAATCATATCTGATTATATCATGTCAATATCGACGCGTGGTCGACTGGAATAGAACTTGGGGATAAGGAATCGAGGGTTCCAGTGGCTTGTTCCTATTGGGTGGAACACGACGCAGTTGGAGAAGAATGAGGTGCGTTGTTTTCGTGTTTTGTTTTGAGGTTATGCTGTCTTGTGGGCAGAAGACGATCCCGATGGTTCTGGTACCGGCCAGTCGGGCGGCGGCCCTTCGAATAACGAGGATGGCGAGGAAGCAGATCTGGACGCAAGCATGGAAGATATGGATGATGTAGGTGAGACGGGGACAGCGAGTGAAGCGGAGGATGCGAATGATATGACGGATGATTTTGAGGAGATATCGAGCAATGCTTGATCCACCACACACGTCAAGTCAGGGCAGAGAAAACTGATAAAATTATGGGTGGTATCGATAAATCTTGGTACGTGCGCATGCAAGATTTACGCTGAGATAGACATAATGCACAAATAAGTTAGATCCTTACCGCTCATCCCCGCTTTCCAACGACGCCGAAGTCGTCATCACTACGAAGTTCAACCACCGCAGACTCGGATCGAACCACTATAAACCCGATTCAATGAACTACCCCTCGAAAATCTGTTACAGACAACGTCCCACGCTTGTGCGTTCTCCTGGGGCTAGCATTAGTCATGACCAATGGCCGTACTCATACTCGGACGTCGCCTGCTTTTGATGCTGTTATGAGCGCGCGGGGGGTGAAGGCGAGGGATGTGAAAACAGGTGATATCTCACTTCTGCAAATATTGTGATGTTGGAATGTTCTCATGTCTGTCCATACCTAAGCAATTCTTCTCCAGACGCCGAGACTGTTTCTATAGCCTCTTTCTAATAAAGTGAAATCCTACCCAGACGTCAAGGGTTCTCACCCAGCCTCAGGATAATTCTGCATCATATGCCTAAGCTCCACTTCCGGAACCCTCGCCTGAAATTCAATAGCGCATGGAACGTTTGGCATAAACGTGTTTGAGAACCCCATGTCATCCTGTGGCTTCGTAGGATCCAGACTGAGCTGAAATGCCCAAAGACTAAGAAGCGAATTTATGAACACCGATCTGTGACATTTCATGAGATTCAGGAAATTATCTGGGTAGAGAGAATCATGACCTGTTCGCGACGTGTTGACCTGGGCATACCCTGGAACGAAGAACAATCAAAGAAAGTGCATCCCATAGGACAGTGCTTACCGCCGACCAAACCCATATACAAAGAATGCGAGATCGTCTCTCAAGCGACCTTGGCTGTCAATCCAGCGCTGGGGCTTGAACGCATCAGGATCAGGATAGACTTCTGGATCTCGAGAGATGGACCTGAGGCGGTGACAATTTGATTTATGATACCTTGAAGGACATAGACTCACCACTGGTTGCCGAACACCGTAGTTCCAGCAGGAATGCAATAGTTTTCCTGCAGACAGATGACAGATGTAAGATTATCCTCACGACGAATCGTTCAAAAACACTTGCCCAAATGACGTCTTCAGTAGTTCGGTGAGGTAATCCTGTGGGATGAACTATGTGAACGTCCGCACAGGAGTGACCATCGAGAAACTCACCAAAAGGAACCAACGGTCTCCATCTCAAAGCCTCAGAGATGAAGGCCTCCAGATGGGGCAGGGATGGCTTATCGGCGAAGGTCGGTGCTTTGGCAAAGATGAATGATTGGACAGAACTACAGTGCACAATCAAGCTACCTCGCCCTCTTCCGATGACTGCATCAAGCTCGGCCTGCACTTTAGCTTGCTCTTCAGGGAAATGTGCCGCTGCCATTAGCACCGTGCATATCGCTGTAGCAGTCTGTTGCCCCACCTCAGGTATATAATCGTCAAAAAAAACAAAAAGACGCCTCACTGTTTCGGTTCCAGCTCCAAAAAAGCCGCCAGCAAGATATGCCATCTCCATATCTGTCAAGTCGTAGAGATGTCCATTTTCTAGAAGATGTTTTGAAAACGAAGGGCCGATGTCCTCATTCCTATGCTGTGGAACAACTCAGACATCACATAAAGATAGGCAGGGCAATGCCTACCATTTGCAGTTTTACACAATTCAGCTGGTCTGTGTAGAGTCGTGTGGCCCTCTTATAGTCGTCTCTTAATTCTGGCGCATACCAAGGAAGGAATTTGAGCCACGGTATCGATTCTACACAGTAAGCACCGGGGCGCAGGACTGTACGAAGTCGGGATATGAGGTGGCGAGCCTCCTTAACTTCAGGGTCAGTTGCCGATGTCAGCGAGGTCTTCCCATATGCAACTTGCAAGATCGTCGCTGCGGCATAACTTCCAAGAGCCCGTAAGTAACATACTACGAGACCCAGGTGAGAAACCACTTACCTTATCGCATGGTTCTGAAAGTTGCTTGGATCGTCAAGAATGTTGAGGATTAGGCTTCTCGCTTGCGACATCTGCAGAGGTTCATACGTCTCGGCTGATTTGGGCTGGAGATGCATATGGAGTACTCTGCGTCGCATCAAGAAGAAACATAAGAGTTGATTGAGCCTTCACAGTATAGCGACGACGAACCTACGCATCCGACGCAGCCTGTCCCCAACATGTATGAAAACGAGGCTCTGTCCGCGTGTGAGAATTTCTCCAGCAGCAACGAGGCGAGGTCGATCAGCTAGCGCTCTACCCTGCTTCTCCATTATATCCACTGCGGCCTGTCACGGAGTGTTGAGTTTGGAGTTGCTGACTTATCATAAAGGGACCAACTTTGTGGCGGCCGATAATCACCGTGTTCTGTATTCCTGACCGGATGGTAATCAGAGGGCCATACTGGTCAATCCACTGCGCCAAAGTAAGAGATGGGCTGATCAGAATGTGATTCAATTAGATCATAAAGATGAGGTCGCAGATATGAAACTTTACTCGCGAGGGGGCAGTAAGTGTCCCTGAAGTCTCCAAGTTGGAGGGGAAGGCGGGAGAGGAAGGCGGCTATCTGATTTACGAAGGTAAACCCAAACAATCGTTCCTATTACTCCAACACAAGCCACAACATCGAGGGTGAGCGACGTGTTATCAGTAATGCGTAGGTTAGGGAGCTGTAGCATTGGAGGAGTTAGGACGGACCTCATCGAAAGTGCATTTCAGTTGTTTAAATAAGGTTCCCTGCACCAACCCTACGGACAGGAACAGACCTGTACTGTCATATCCAATTACGCATTACTCCAGAGATAAAATGATGGCTCTGGGAAAATACCATAAGCGGACATATAATGTGTGGAGACCGCACAAGATCTTGTCCATTCTTCGCGACTTGCCGTCAACGAAGTATCGGTAGCAATCATGACTTACCCCCTTCATAGCCTTGTGCACCGGCTATGAGTATCGACTTTAACACGTGCTGAGTCGTATGATGCCGACGATGATGTGCGGTGGTGTTAGGCACTCAGGTATAGTGCAGTTCGATGAGCCTGGAAACCAGACGTTTTAAAACTGGAGATCTTTGTCTACACCTAAAAAACATGCTCACAGTCATGAATGTGTATGCACGTTCCAGGCTGATAATATGGATTATGAAGTCGTCTTGGATCCTACATAAGGTGGTATAACGTACGCGAGAAGGTCGGTTCGTTGCTACATAGTGTCGCGGTGTTTCTGGGTCATGTGATTGCGACGTGCATCCGAGCCGAGGAACTTCAGTGTACCGATGACACGGATGGGATCAGACAGCTGACCATTCGTTATCATAGCCGCAGCGCTGCCCACATCATTATGTAAACCGCAGACCAACCAAAATGAGAACAGTGAGTGTTATTCCACACAAAGTATTATGACTACTCACCTGCAGGTGCAAACTCCTGCTTTGATGTACAAACTCGCTGAGTAAAAGAACTTGGCTCCTGCATCAAGGAATGGTGTCGTACGTCTACGAGACGCTGAGATCAGTATCAAACCATAAATGAGGGTGCATCAAACACTTAAAAGGTCACTTGTGAGCCTCATCTGTTGGATAGTATTGGTGAGTTGTCCAAGTCACGAGTGCCTAGGTGCCCAGACATGGAGATAAGCGCACAGTCACAAATCTAAGAAGATCACTTGTTGAGATCCTGTCCACCTGGGAGAAGAAGAAGGGAGAAGAAGGGAGCCAGCAGGCGATCACTGGATGCAAATGGGGGGTGAGCTGGCGAATGTTCATCTAGGGCATTCAACGTTTAAACCCCCCTAGAACGAAGCCTAGGAAGATTCTCACATGAGATACATCTAGTTGGACAATGGATGACAATACCAGAAGGTGTATCTGATTTTTTGGATTATAGTCCAGTTAGGATATATCTATATAACAGTATGGGCTGCACGCCTCAGCAATTCTTCTCCAGACGTCGAGACTGTTTCTATAACCTCTTTCTAATAAATTGAAAATCCTACCAAGACGTCAAGGCTTCTCACCCAGCCCTGGGATAATTCTGCATCATACGCCTAAGCTCCACTTCTGGAATCCTCGCCTGAAATTCAATAGCGCATTTAACGTTTGGCATAAACGTGTTCATGAACCCCATATCATCCTGTGGCTTCGTAGCATCAAGACTGAGCTGAAAGGCCCAAAGAATAAGAAGCGAATTTATAAACACCGATCTGTAACGTTTCAGATGAGATAAAGGAAATTATGTGGGTGGAAAGAATGACCTGTTCGCAACGTGTTGACCAGGGCATACCCTGGAAAGAAGAACAATCAAAGAAAGTGCATCCCATAGGACAGTGCTTACCGCCGACCAAACCCATATACAAAGAATGCGAGATCGTCTCTCAAGCGACCTTGACCGTCAATCCAGCGCTGGGGCTTGAACGCATCAGGCTCAGGATAGACTTCTGGATCTCGAGAGATGGACCTGAGACGGTGACAATTCGATGTGATACTTTGAAGGACATAGACTTACCAATGGTTGCCGAACACCGTAGTTCCAGCGGGAATGCAATAGTTTTCCTGCCGACAGATGTAAGATTATCCTCTCACGACAAATGATTCAAAAGGACTTGCCCAAATGACATCTTCAGTAGTTCGGTGAGGGAATCCTGTGGGATGGATTATGTGAACGTCCGCACAGGAGTGACCATCGAGAAACTCACCAAAAGGAACCAACGGTCTCCATCTCAAAGCCTCAGATATAAAGGCCTCCAGACGAGGAAGGGATGGCTTATCGGCGAAGGTCGGTGCTTTGGCGAAAAATGAATGATTGGACAGAACTACAGTGCACGATCAAGCTACCTCGCTCTCTTCCGATGACTGCATCAAGCTCGGCCTGCACTTTAGCTTGCTCTTCAGGGAAATGTGCAGCCGCCATTAGCACCGTGCATATCGCTGTAGCAGTCTGTTGCCCCACCTCAGGTATATAATCGTCAAAAAAAACAGAAAGACGACTTACTGTTTCGGTTCCAGCTCCAAAAAAGGAGCCAGCAAGATACGCCATCTCCATCTCTGTCAAGTCGTAGAGATGTCCATTTTCTAGAAGGTATTTGGAAAACGAAGGGCCAATATCTTCATTCCTCTGCTGTGGAACAACTCAGACATCACGTAAACACAGGCAAGGCAATACCTACCATTTGCAGTTTTACACGATTCAGCTGGTCTGTGTAGAGTCGCGTGGCCCTCTTATAGTCATCTCTTAATTCTGGCGCATACCAAGGAAGGAATTTGAGCCATGGTATCGATTCTACCCAATAAGCGCCGGGGCGCACGACTGTACGAATTCGGGACATAAGGTGACGAGCCTCCCTAACCTCGAGGTCAGTTGCTGATGTCGGCGAGGTCTTCCCATATGCAGCTTTCAGTATCGTCGCTGCGGCATAACTTCCAAGAGCCCGTAAGTAACATACTACGAGACCCCGGCGCCAACACGTAGAAAACCGCTTACGTGGTCGCATGGTTCTGAAAGTTGCTTGGATCGTCAAGAATGTTGAGAATTAGGCTTCTCGCTTGCGACATCTGCAGAGGTTGATACTCGTCGGCTGATTTTGGCTGGAGATGCGTATGGAGTACTCTGCGTCGCATCAAGAAGAAACATAAGAGCTGATTGAGCCTTCACAGTATAGCGACGACGAACCTACGCATCCGACGCAGCCTGTCCCCAACATGGCAGAAACCGAGGCTCAGTCCACGTGAAAGAATGTCTCCAGCAGCAACGAGGCGAGGTCGATCAGCTAGCGTTCTACCCTGCTTCTCCATTATATCCACTGCGGCCTGTCAGGAAGTGTTGAGTTTGGAGATACTAACTTATCATAAAGGGCACTAACTTTGTAGCGGCCGATGATCACGACATTCTGCATTCCTGAACGGATAGTGATCAGAGGGCCATACTCGTCAATCCACCGCGCCACAGCAAGAAATGGCCTGATCAGAAATGTGATACAATTAGATTCTATAGATGAGGTCGCAGATATGAAACTTCACTCGCGAGGGGGCAGGAAGTGTCCCTGAAGTCTCCAAGTTGGAGGAGAAGGTGGGAGAGGAAGGCGGCTATCTGATTTACGAAGGTAAACCCAAACAATCGTTCCTAATACCCCAACACAAGCCGCGACATCGAGGGTGAGCGACATGGTATCAGAAATGCGCAGGTCAGGGAGCTGTGGCATGATCGATTAGAGGAGTTAGGATGGACCTCATCGAAAGTCCATTTAAGTTGTTTAAATAAGGCTCCCTGCACCAACCCTACAGACAGGAAGAAACGGATATTGTCATATCCAATTACGCATTACTCCAGGGATAAAATGACGACTCTGGGAAAATACCATACGATGTGCGGAAACCGGACAAGATCTTGTCAAATCTCCGCGACTTGCCGTCAGGCGATGTATCTGTAGCAATCATGAATCACAATTGGCTTACTCCTTCATGGCCTTATGCACTGGCTATGAGTGTCGACTTTAACACGTGCTGAGTCGTATGATGCCGACGATGATGTGCAGTGGTGTTAGGCACTCAGGTATAGTGCAGTTCGATGAGCCTGGAAACCAGATGTTTTAAAAGCGCAGATCTTTGTGTACACCTGCAAAAACATACTCACAGTGATGAATGTGTATGCGCGTTCCAGGCTGATAATATGGGTCGTCTCCCTAAATAAGATGGTATGACGTGTGCGAGAAGGCCGGTTTGTTGCTACATAGTGTCGCGGTGTTTCTGGGTCATGTGATCGCGACGTGCATCCGAGCCGGGCAAAATGTACCGTTGACACGGATGGAATCAGACAGCTGACAATGTCGTTATCGTAGCCGCAGTCCACATCATTATGAGGCAACCTAGAGCGGACTTATGGCATAGAGTAGGAAAATCCAGACCTATCGACGACGATGCGAACGAAACGCAGCCGACAGATGCGGTGACTCTTTGATACGTGAAAGGTGCAAAGAAGTTCTCCGGGGCGATAGAGATATAGCTAAACCACATCAACTAAAATCAGGAATTGGGGAGGCAGATGCCGTTCCTGCCACAACTTGAGATGCACCTCGGGTCAGACCTGAAAAGGGTCGATACAAACCTGAGCCTGAGAGTCTTGGCAGGCATCAGTTATACAAGGAGCGCTGGGATGCGGGCAAAACACCCACTGTCATAGACTCTTTTATCATTGATAGCTCATTACAGAAAACAAACTTGGAGTGTCCGAGGATTAGCCAACGTGACAGTGGCACGGATGGCAGATACTACCACGCTGTGAGCAAGAACTTTTCGGGTGTAAGGATAAACACCTACAGCGAGGCACATGTACTGATCCAGTCGCAACCTGGCAGAGATCAGCTTCACTGCTCAGTACTCAGTGCTCGCTGTGGTGATGCATGAGTGCCTGCTTATACCCCGCTATGGGCCCGCAATTGAACACTCCGACGGACCAAAATACGTAATCCAAAATTTGTCACGCACCACCACCATCAAAATGCCCATCACATCCCCAACACTCGTTCCCCGCCCTCCAATCATCCCCCTCGTCCTCCCGCGCGCACCCCAAGTAAACCCAACACCACTCCCCAAACTCGATCGCTACCCCGGGCGCATGGACACCCGACGCGATCTTCAACGCGAAATTGACGATCTTTCAGACGAGGAGAATGAACTTGAAGATTCCGTACGTGCCCCCTCCTAAAGTCGTTCCTGCGATGCGATTCCCTACTAATACTCCACGCAAATTATATCTTATTATATCGACGCGTGATCGACTGGAATAGAACTTGGGGATAAGGAATCGAGGGTTCCAGTGGCTCGTTCCTATTGGGCGGAGTACGACGCAATTGGAAGAGAAGAACGAGGTGCGTGGTTTTTCGTGTTTTGTTTTGAGCTTGTTTTTCTTATGTTGTCTTGTAGGCAGAAGACGATTCCGATGGTTCTGATACCGGCCAATCAGGCGGCGGCCCTTCTATTAACGAGGATGGCGAGGAGAACGACGATTCAGGAGCAGATCTGGACGCAAGCATGGAAGATCTGGATGATGAGGGTGAGACAGGGACAGCGAGTGAAGCGGAGGATGCGAATGATATGACGGATGATTTTGAGGAGAGGTCGAGCGATGCTTGATACGCCACATGCGTCAGAGCAGAGAACAACGATAAAATTATGGGCGGTATCGATAAATCTTGGTACGTGTGCATGCGGAATTTACGCTGAGATATACATAATCCACAAATAAGTTAGATCCTTGTCGCTCATCTCCGCTTCCCAACGACGCCGAAGTTGGACCACTACAAAGTTGTCGTCACTACGAAGTTCAATCACCGCAGACTCGGATCGAATCACTAAGAACCCGACTCAATGAACTACCCCCCGAAAATCTGTTACAGACAACGTCCCACGCGTATGTCTTCTCCTAGTGCTAGGATTAGCCATGACCAATGGCCGCACCCATACTCGGACGTGGCCTGCTTTTGACGCTGTTATGAGCGCGCGCGGGAGGAAGGCGAGGGATGTGAGGAGGTCGGCGTCGAGTTGTTTCACCTGTTGTACGTTATAAGTCAACCAGTTGCCTTCACAATGGGAAAGCCGTGTAGAAAAACGGAAGAAAGAAAGAAAACTGACCAATACAGGTTGTACAGTCGACACTTCATTCCTCGAAGGCGCAGGATGATACCGTGGTGCAGATAGTTGAATCGTCGACCCCGTTCCGCGTCGGTGAGCGAGCGAGATACTAGATGACACCGATGGGCGCGGATGGTGTGCTCCGAGGAGTTTGGGGCGATGAAGAGCGCCAGAGGAAAAGTCCCACTGTCAGATTAGTTGAGTGAACAGTCATTTCTAAGTGCAATAAAAAGCGCACGAGAATGAGTTTGTTGTCCTCTCCTACGCTACCAAAGCGGTATGTCCGCCCATCGCAGCGGAGCTCGTCGAAAGCAACGGCTGAGACGAATGAGGAGTGTCCTTGACATCGTGCGACGACCCGTTGTTCCCAGGGGGAGAAAATGGTGAGCAGGTCGTCTTGGCCGCCGGTCTAGTTGAGGGTAAACAATCAAGGATGAGTTCATTGAATTGGAAACTTGGAGTGAAACACACGAGGATGAAACGCCCATCAGGAGACCATGCAACGCATGTCATTGAACCGAAATAGGATGCATAGCAGTCAACCAGCCTGAATTAAAGATTAAAGTCTGTTCAGCGATCGGAGGAGACGACATACTGCTCTGCAAGTGGGTCGATCACCCTCAGACACCCATCGTCTGAGATGGCAGCTACATATTTATTATCAGGGGAGAACACGAAGTCTAGCCAGGATGAGCTCCCAATGCGAGTATTAAAGAGGCTTCACTGACCGACAACACCACGGCGACATAGACGCCAATGGCTTACAGGGTTCTTTACGACCACGCCCTTCTCTCCCTTCCCGATTGCTTCTGGATGCCACGGCGGAGGTGTGACAAATATCGTTGATAGGGGGTCCCATTCATCACTTACAGGAGATGCATGATGTGCGTTGATGGTTATATGTGGGGTATTTGTGAGTCCATTTGGAATGGTGGCAGTGAATATGCCGTCTTCGCGTTCTTTGTCGTAAACGATTATGGTTCCATCTGCGTGGGAGACGAGAAAGAGGGTTGGAGAGGATGGAACCCAACGGACGGCTGTACATAAGGAGGCGGAAATAGTGCCCTATTGCTTTGTTGTGAGATATGTTTACAATAGAAGTGGGGTTGACTACCTGTTTGTTGAGGCGGCAGTAGCGACTTGATATTGGGTCTGATTAATCGCTGTGAGCAGAAGAACAGGCGTGGTATGAGGTGCATACCGAACCATACGAGGTCGCCTGTGCTAAATCCTATGATAACATCTAATCGTTCTGAGGATGCGGTGGAAGGGTTTACGTCGTGACAAGTTGGGTATGCAGAGAAGCTAATCCTTGTTAGTGGTTCCTGGTAGAATCATGCAGCGATTTGCGCGGCCAAGGACTAGATGACGGACCTTGGTTTTTGACCCCACCTCGATCCACAAGAAAGCCTTTCCAGTATTATAGAACAAGAATGTGACATCGCCTTGTTTTGCTGCGAGTGTCTTGCTGAGACCTTCAGTGCTTTGAAGACGTGTGATGAATGTGGATGATGTGGTGCGCATGTTGTGTTTTGGTCGTGATATATTCGATTTCTTTTTACCTACTGAGACGGAAGGGTGGGAGAAGAGCTTGTACTGCTGAGGTTCTGCTGAGAGGTCTGGGGTAGCTACTACATCTGGAGATGAAAAGCTGTCTTCTGGGGTACTGCCGGATGACATGCTCCGCTCCTCCAGCAAGGGGCGCTCCTTTACGACGGCCTCTTTCTCTTTCTCCCGCTCTTTTTCCTTGTCTTTTTTGAGATCCTTTGTTAGATTTGCACCAAGAAACTGGGCGAGACCTGGGGAAACTGAGTGCTTTGGCGGAAAGCGGACTGTGACGGATGAAAGGCGAGTTTGGTAGATGGGTTGTGCTGCTGTAGAAGAGTGAATGGGAACTGGAAGAGGTTTATGTTCCTCAGTGACAGAGTAAACGCCCTCAGGAGCCACGAATGCACTGTCGCTCTCCATGCTGCTGATGAGAAGGTGTTAGCAACAGTAAGCTTAATCTGCATTGGGTATGACCTTGAGAAATTCCTACGCCGCTTAACAAGTCATGCGACGGTCATATATTTGAACTTGCTCCTCCTCTAGACCACGGTGTGATCCTACTAACTTCGCGAATCCGAACTCTTGGTTTAAATTAAGATCAGCCTTGAAGCTAAAAACTAAAAGTCATGAGTGTATCATGATTCTGAAAGAGATATCATGCTGCGGCATAGATCCGGCCCGACAATCCCATTTGGTATCCAAAGTCATTCAATTACGATCAATTATTAGACTTTCGGTTCAATGCAGAATGGAACATAACATCCTCATTGCCTTGCTTGACGGATCTTGTCTTCTCCCTATCCTTGTCCTAACACCTATTTGATTTTCCAATGCTCGCCCGTCGTCTGCGCTCTAAATTTCCTGCACTCGTAAGTCTCTCTTTCAACCAACCACCAGGTGACCGTGTCACTCACCCGGAACAAGTCCCGTCGATGGCAGACGACAGCGAGCACCACTGCCATCGAGCCCCCACCTGCGGGCGGTCATTCTTCATCTGTCGCATCCTCTCAGCTTTTCCGCATCACACGAGAATCTGCTCTCAGAACACCAGGTATATCATGGCAAGATGAGGAATCTGACCGTAACATTATCGGCGGCCGCGAGACGCGCAAGATGAACCTCTACCAAGCTGTGCGGGACGCCCTCAGGTAACCCATTTCTTTCTACCCAGAAGGTCTGCTGACAGTCTCAGTATTGCACTTTCAAAGGATGATACTGCCGTCATATTTGGTGAGGATATAGCATTTGGCGGGGTGTTTAGGTGTACAATGGTATGCATTGCCATGTCTTCATACATCATTTGTCCTCACTCATCGAACAGGGCCTAGCAGAAGAATTCGGTACGTTTTAATCATATACGTCGTGTCTATAACTGATCGTGCTGCAGGTCGCGAACGCGTCTTCAATACCCCATTGACAGAACAAGGTATCGCGGGTTTTGGCATTGGCCTCGCATCCATGGGGCATACTGCAATTGCAGAAATTCAGTTCGCTGACTATATATTCCCCGCATTTGATCAGGTTCGTTCCACTTTATCCGAATCTTAGACTTCAAAATCGACCTTCAACTTAGCTCGTGAACGAAGCCGCAAAGTTTCGCTACCGTTCAGGTGGACATTTCTCTATCGGCGGGCTAACCGTGCGTACGCCAACCATGGCCGTGGGTCATGGTGGGCTATACCATTCACAGAGCCCTGAAGGGTTCTTCATGGGCGCATCTGGTCTCAAGGTGTGTTCATACTGCTGATTCCACGATGAATCTCTAAATGAACTCATGAACCACTAGGTCGTAATCCCCCGCTCCCCAATCCAATGTAAAGGTCTTCTACTCTCAGCCATCCGCGATCCCAACCCAGTCATATTCATGGAGCCCAAAATCCTCTATCGTTCTGCAGGTACGTTCTCCTTCCCAACCTCCCTGTATGCATTATTGATTTCACCCACAGTCGAACAAGTTCCAATTGATGACTTCTCCCTCCCCCTCTCCCGCGCCGAAATTCTCATCCCAGGATCCGATCTAACACTCCTAACATGGGGCACCCCCATCTACCACTGCGAATCCGCCCTCCGCCTCCTCAACTCCCCACCGCCCTCACTCGCACCACTCATCCCTCCCTCCCTTCGCAACGCCAAAGTCGAACTCATCGATCTCCGAACGATATTACCATGGGACGTCGAAACAGTCGTAGAGAGCGTGCGCAGGACGAAGAGGCTCGTGATCGTGCACGAAGCGGGTATGACGGGTGGCGTCGGAGGAGAAATCGCCGCTGAGGTCGGGAAGCGGGCTTTTTTGAGGCTGGAGGCGCCTGTGAGGAGGATTACGGGATGGGAGTGAGTGTCTTTTCTTATATATCCCCGCTCTCCTCGGTTTCTGACGACGTTTTATTTTCATTGTTGTAGTGTCCCAGCTGGGCTGCAGTTTGAGAAGTTCAATATGCCGGATGCGGTCAGGATTTTGGATGGCATTATGGAGACGCTCAGTTACTAATAATCTGGTCGCTGATTGGCGCTGTTCCTCAAGCTGGTGTTGCGCCCACGGTGTAGCATAAATGATGTACAATTAATGATGTAGTACATTAGTACGCACGTATACCTTGTATGAGTGTGATACCAACATGTTTGGAGGTGCGGAAAGACTGCACACCGACGGGGACATCATGTGAGAGCCACGCAAATTACTTCCGCGGAACCAACTCATGTGATGTACAACTCGCCTTTATCATCCTGTCACGCAACGAAGGTTGTGAGTTATTCTTTATAATAATACAGTCATTCATAAGAATTGAAAATGAGTATATTTCGGAGGTCAACTGGTCTACGACTTGAAGAACAAGAGAAGAACAAAGAGCGTCCTAGTTATCCGAACCAGCCAATTTATCCAATTCCTCCCAAGAAATGCTATGTCCGCCCTTTGCGCACTTGAACCCAAACGAATGTTGGACCCAAGCATATCC